TGATATAAAAATGTATCTGATTAGACTTTAGATCACTAATTAGAAATGATTATACACTCCAAGACGCGAAAACACTTCAAATCAAGTGTTTGGAGTGACTCGGGTGACATCTAGGGACATGTAGGACCTAGATATGGAGTTTACTCTTCAAGAGTAAACTCCTTGAAGAGTTAACGGTCCATTGACTATATCCCCATGAGTTTACGGCCATAAACTCATGGGTGGTGGGTTCTTGGATGCCAAATGGTCATACAATGCACACGGGAAGGTTCTAGGACTGATTCCATGGCTTAGGAAGTGATTAGGAATCTAAATGACCTTGGATAAGAGTTTACTGTCTATGAAGTTGTTCTTCGGGAGTTTACTACCTTAAACACGAGTTTACTACCTTAAACACGAGTTTGTCCATGATTAATGAGTTTTAGTGGTTGAAAATTAAGCATACTAACTTCTAGACCCATTTTTAAGCCATACAAGGTGTTAAGGGCACTTTAACACCCATAGAATGAGTTTAAGGTCTAAGGAGATGAGTTTATGGTCTAAGAATGTTCTTGGACCGTAAACTCAAGCTTGTCCCATTTGAATAAGTTTTGGTGCATTTCTTGAAGGATTATAAGGTTCTATACTCTCATGGAAGCTTGTTGGAGGTGTTTAGGGGCAAACTAACACCTTAAGTTGAGTTTACTCCCTAAGAATAGGTGTTTACGGTCCAAGCATGTGCTTGGGCTGTGAACTCATGCTTATGTCCCAATTGAAGAGTTAAAGGTGTTCTAAGACCATGCAAACAAGTCCTTAGGTCATATCTAGGCTCCAAATGAGTTTTGGAAGGGTTTTAAGGCTCAAAACCCCTCATTACATGTGTTCACGGCCTAAGGAGGTTCTAGGACCGTAAACACGTGTTTATGGTCCTATTCCTCATATTTTTCACGAATTTGAAGGCCAAAGGTGTTATACTAGAAGCTAGGATAGTTACCTTGACGATTTGGAGCTTGTTTTGGATGATTTTGGCTTGATTTCGATTTCTAGAGAGAGAAAGTAGAGAGAGAGTGGAAAGGCTTCAAATGAGGCTCTCTCAACTTTATATATGCTGAAATTTTGGGACATGGTGGAATTCTACCCGATACTGTCGTCAAGCGAGGGTTTTGGTCGTACCCGACTTAATTATTTTTATAATTCGAAGGAATAAAACAGTTCTTTTTCCAAATAATAAATTGGGGCGTTTCCATGGATTTCTAACATATTTGTAAAATTATTAAGTCATAATAACAAACTTAAAATAAATGACTTAGTTTAGAAACGAACGAAAACAATTTAGGACGATGAATTTTTAATGACATATCGGGTTACGACGACGGAACAAACTTCGGGTTGTCACAGAAAGCAACCTTTTGTTCGATGACCTTCCTTTCAATCCCATGTTTTATCATCTTGCTTAAAAGATGATTGAAGTGATCAAAGGTTTGAACAAGTTTCTCTTCAGGCTTCTGCTTAAAGTCTCCAAATTCAGAGAGCAACAGAGTTTGAATTGAATGTTCCAAGTCTTCGTTAGTGGAATACAATTCTTTTAATCTATCCCAAATCTCTTTAGCAGTGGTGCAAGAACTTACCAAACGAAATGTATCTGACTGCAAGGCAAACCTTATCATCCTCAATGCCTTGATGTTGCATTGAAACTTTTCCTTCTCGTCTTGAGGAATATCTTTGACATCGTTAACAAGCTGATTGTACTCCTTCTGAGTTTTGACAATCTTAGAGGTGCTTGAGTGAGCAAATGGGCCAGTAGTGATCGCTTCCCAGATCAAGTATCCATTATCCTCCGATCCAATCATAGAATCTTCAAAGTGATGCGTCCAAACTTCATAGTCTTGTGTACACAAGATTGGTATCCTTGTCGTCGAACCAATGCTGTTGGAGATGTTGATTGGATTGGTTTGTGAATCATCCATGGACATTGTAATGACTTTTGATCGATTACTTGTAAAATATCAGACTTGTAGTATATCGTTAGGGTTAGATCAACGATTAATGAGATACGTCAATATGGAATGACGGCTCAATTAATATCAATCAATGCGGAATTAAAACCCTAATAACTTCTTCGACAGAAGAGATGTGTATGAATTACACAGTCTCCTACTCTGATAACAATTGATGAGAATTAAACTCTAGATCGATTAGATCTTTCACATGTATGAATATGAATATCAAACAAGACAAATACAGTAAGAGAAGGAACACTGAACAGAATCAAATATAAGCTTATGATTCAATAAAGTCACACCTCAGCAGAGCTCGATGAAGAACTTCCATTGTAGAGACGAGCTAGGTTTTACAAAACTCAAGGAGAAAAATTATGAAAGTGTTAACTACCAAGACTGCATGCATGCAACTTATATACTAAACCCTAGAACAAAATATACACGGATGGACAGGCCCAATACCGACAATCAAAACTGGGCTAAGGACCGAGCCGATGACGCAACATAATAATCCCGACAAGCACAATATCATATTTGCCGAAATGGATGTTAATCAATATGCTAGAAAAGAAGGGTATAAATAAGTAAAGCGTAACGAACAACTAAACCTTATGGTTTTGGGCAATTTGTGCATTTGGTCCCTAATTTATTTCTTAACTTGGAAGGTCCCTACTATTTGTTTGCGTTATACGCTTGGTCCCTATAATTAGTTTTTGTTACGCACTTGGTCTCAATCTTACCTAAACAGACTATTATTTAAATAGGAAAGAATGATGGGGTAGCTAAGGTAAGGTAAGAGGAGTGGGGTTGAGAGTGTGTTTATTTAAATAAATTAAAAAATCAATTGCAAAATAGTTTTTTTAGGTAAGACAAGGACCATGCACATAACAAAAACAAACAATAGGAACCTTTCATGTTAAAAAAATAAGTTAGAGACCAAACTCGCAAATTACTCTAAACCATAGGGACCATTCGTGTAATTTACTCAAAAAAAAAAAGATATGGTTATGTTGAAATGAACAACCACAACTACATTGTTTAAAGACTTAATGTTTAAAGGGAAACTTGTAGGAAATAACAATCTACGTTACCCTTCTTACCAATAATAGCAAACTACTTTATTGAGTGAATATGTTCTTTTGAATAAAATGACATCAAAGTTGATATAATTTATAATTGTAATATTTCATATTTTAGAAACTATTTATTTTATTTTATTTTAGAAAGTAACATGATTTAGTAAGCTATCTTAATTCTTATGTTTTAATTTTTCTTACTTTCCTACATTACAAAAGTACTCTTTCGTGTTTGTACATTTTATTGGAAACAAATTATAGTCATGTATAAAAATTGATAACAAACTATAATAAGTTTATTATGGATGTAATCAATTAGGTAGAATGTTATATTTGTTCTCGATGAAAACCACAAATAAAATAATTAACATATCATATGATTTAAAATTATACATCTGAAAATAGTAATTAACTTCAACAACACATCCAAGTTGAGGTGAGCAATTGGACCGTACCATAACCGGTGCCCGGTGCCAGAACCATTTTGAGAAGTATGCAAGGAATGTGGATACGATCAACTATGGTATACCGATGGTTGTTTTTCCAATTCTTGGATCGCCACAACATTCATTGTGTAACGACATCCGATTGATATGTCAAAATTTTCGACACAATGTCATTGATTCTTAAATAGTTGTTGGTCAACATGCTGGAAATATAATATTTTTGCTAAGGATTCATCTATGTCCGTTTAACGATTACATGTTCCCATTCAAGCTGCAGACAAAAGAATTTCCAATTCGATTATGCTTCGCTATTATAATTAGTGAAGTTCGGGGACAAACAATTCCAAATGTAGGTATTTATCTTCCAGAATCGGTTTTCTCGCATGACCAACTTTATTTGCCATTATTCAAATTTATATCACGTGCCAATACAAAAGTATTAATAAAGCTAACGAACAATTCAACAACAGTAAAGTCTACACATCAAATGTGGTGTGTAAGAAGTATTGCACAGTTAATAATGCACATTAAATCATGTGTTCATGTACATTTATAAAGAATCACAACTTTTCATTTTTAATTCTTATTGATTTCGTTTCTGTTAGCATGGTTCTTATTGATAATTGTTTAGATGTAATCTAGGTAGTTAATATCGTCGATTTCCAGGTGATTTCTAGGTGGGATATCAGTCATCGGTACTTATCAAAATAGCGGTGTCAAATATCGGTCAAAAATATCGGACCGCAAAAATCGATGATATTTACCAATATTTCCAGGTGGGATATCGGTTAAGTATTTTTACTTGCTTTTTTTAGTTTTAATTCATGGCCTTAAGTCTTATGATCTTAACTCAATTGAACCTGCTATTATGTTGAGTACTTAATTGTTAGTTTTAGGTTATATACTCATGTTTTAAGTATTAAGCGATCTTATTGTTATGTTAATTGTTAAATGCTTAAGTGTTAACTTGCTAGTTTCTATAGGTTTGATCATGTTGATGTGTTAAGTACTTAATTCTTAAATGATGATGATGATATTAGAGTTAATGTGAAATATCTAGATAAAATAATTAAATGCTTTGGTTGATGTGGACTTATAGAAAGATTTCATGGCTAAAAATTATGATTCAAACATTGTAAGTGTTGAGTTTTGACTTTTTATATTATTTTTATATATGATTTATGTTTATATATATTAATTATGCATGATATAAAAATACCGATATCCCGCCGTGATAACCTATATCTCAAATATCGGTCATTGACCGATATTTGATTTTGCACAAAATAAGTAATTACCTCTACAAACTAATTTCTCTAAAAGAATATTTCGCACCCTTGGTTTGATGCGAGTAAACGGTTTTTGTGTGTGTATATATATATATATATATATATAATATATATATATATATATATATATATATATATATATATATATATATATATATATATATATATATATATATATATATATATATATATATAACATTCTCCCCCTGATCAAAGGTTGCATGTTCGACATATTTGACTCCCAAAAGCTCCCTCATTCCATTGAATTTGAATCTTATCAATGATTTCTTTAAGACACTTTTGGTTGTTCTTCGCTTCGTACGTATTTAACTCTGGCTCCATCAGGATTCTAGTGGGATTGCAATCTACTATTTGGGCTTTGTCAAGTGGTTTTTCCGAACCCGCCTGGTTCAACACAACACGATACAATCTTGCATTTGCTTTACTTCAATACCTAGATAGCAAGTAAGAGGGCGTATAGATCACTTATCGCAAATTCCTTTCGTATTTGGTTCTTGGATTCATCCATACCTGTATTTCAGGGCATCTACTTTGGCATACAAGAGCTTCAAACAAGGCTCTGATACCACGTGTAAGTGCTAAACAGTGGGTGTCTTTTTCCTATGAAGAAGCAACAAAGAACAGGGTAAAACAGAGGATGAAGATGAGGGGAATTTTTGGGCAATTTTCTTCTGTGATTCACATCATAAAAGACTCAACTACATTAAATACTAAGAAAATACCTAGAAAATCGGACCATAACAACCACCTATTCAGTAACAAACGACTACTTTATAACCAAACTTTTTTACCAGTTTATTTTATCACTTCCACTAAATTGGATACAAGTGACTTAAGATTTTGGTTTTGTCTATGATCTTTTCCTAAACGCACATTTTGAGATCGAATTCTTAACAAATGAGATAGAGTTCTCATGGAATGAGATTGTTCGGAAATGATACTACTTGTGGATGGGCTTTTTGACAAGATTATTTGATATCCATCGCTGAAGGAACCCATCCCATCCGCCATGAGCTGCCACACTAAACCACCACCAACAGTTCCTCCCGTATTGGCCATCATGTAAATGTTTCTATAAACAGCATCTATGTAAGAGTCTCTTTTGTTAATGTTATATTCTTGATTATTACTAGACTTCCCAAATTCGGCTATAACAAGCGGTTTCTTTAGGATAACTCTTGAATCCTCGTAATGACTCCACATCCATCTTTGCATAAATTCCATTTGTGAATCTTCATTTTGTCCAGACAACCTGCAGTATTAAAAAATCATTAAATACTTACTTGCCTTCAATAAGTAAAACAGAAGGTGAATTTACCTTCAATCAGGATAATGCAATAACTTATCATGGAAAAATCATATAGAATATATTACCATTGATCAGGATATGCATGTATGGTGGCAAAATCAATTTCGCTAACAAGATTGTTGGTGATGAAATCAGTTCCAACTTGGTAACCAGGGTTTATCTGCTTTCGTTCAGGCATTGTGTCACCATAAAACCCTTCCATGCCAACCTCCAACAGATGGTGTCTGTCCAATGATTTCACGAACGAAGCCATTTCTTGAATCCAACCCTGCAGCGAATTGTGAGTTTAGATTAATAAATTATAACATATAATTAATCATATCTAGAGCTTAATCATATAGTAAAAAATATGTACATTAACTGTTCTTCCAGAGTAATCAGCCTGGCAGCGGGGCTCGTTCATGAGTTCCCATGCCATGATTGTGGTGTCATCACGATATGCGATCCCGGTGATGGTATTGACCCTTGTTATAATTCTCTAAAGTAATCAGTATACATATAAGTTAGTTAGGTATAACAACACAAGCTCGATAATACATATATAAAACATAAAACTTATTTAATTTGTTGATCGTTGAACTTACTTGGACATGGTTCTTATAATACTCTTTGACTATAGGGTTGGTGTAAAAATCGTCGTCACTGCTGATAGGAACGCCTGCTTTTTTTACCCAGTCAATGTATTGCAGTCGCCCTCCGAAGTCGTTGAAATTGTTAACAAAACTTAATATCAACCGAATACCGTGTTTTCTTGCTTCTGATACAACGAAATCCAGTCCCTTCAAATTAACCAAAAAAAAAAAAGTTATTTTGTGTAAGAACAACTTTTATATGATAGAAAATTGGTCAAAACTCAGAAATGTGTTTGTAGCAATACCTGAAAAACATGTTCGTTGTATGCTCCTGGTGAAATCTGAAGAGCTTTGTCACCACCATCAGCGAAAGCCCATGTTCGGCATACTGAAAGACCAACATTCGCAGCATCTTGTAGGACTTCAGTAACTTTGATCCTCTCTTTTGGAACAGTGGCAACATTCATCATCCAATACGCATTAAATCCATTGAAAAGAAACGGGGACCCGTTTAAAACAAAGTTAGTTCCTTTGGTTTGAACAAAGCCGGCTGCTTTTCCCCTGTATACCCTACATTCACAAACGCAGCAAAGAAGAGCCATGCATAGAACTACTATGAGAGCACTCCATGAGTGATGGCCATATCTGATGTAGGTACTCATTGTTTAGTAGAAGGTTTGAATGCATGAAATGTTTGGAAACCATGGTTATATATATAATGGGTTGTGGATACGAAGTTTGATAAATATCCAAGTAGAAAAACATTGGAAGAAATACAAGAGATCACGAATTAAGACTTGTCTTTGGGTGCTAGAAAAGATGGTCGACTAGCTAGCCCTTCTAAGAAGAAAAAAGATCTATATAGTCGACGTTAACGATCTTTATTATTATAATATTAGTAAAAATAGACTTAGACACGCAAGTAAAAGTCATTCACGTATTTAACTATTTATGGTTGGTTCCAGTTTTATTTTGAAATAACATCTTGTTAACGGTTAATTCAAATTTAAAGTTTATCTTATATAGTAAACGTTAAACCCTTCTTATATATGCATGAAGTTTTGTGAGCAATTTACATATTTTGGCTTTTAACTTTTTAATAAAAAAAATATATTTAATAATTTGTTGGATAGTAGGTACTTTTATTTTTTATTTTAAATAAAAAAAGTCTTAATCTAAAAACTACTTCGAATAACTTAACTTTTCAGAGTTTAACTAATATTATATAAAAGGGCTTATTACAAGGATATTCGCTATTGTCTTCTTTTTTTGAGGTTAAAAGTTGAAGTCATATTAAGGATATAGAAAAATAGTTTACGAGTATTCCAAAAAAAAAAAATCTAATTTTACATATTTAAAACTAATTATTTTTATTATTTTTATTTAAATATACAAGTTACAACTTCTAATGCTAATCAATTTTACAATCCTCGCATAGGCTACACGGCCAATATTTAGAAAATATTGGTCGACTAACCCCATTTTCGTTTGCTAGCACATGATCGACAAACAGTTCGATGAACTAAAAAGATGGTCGACATTAACGGTGTTTTTTATAATAATATTAATAAAGAAAAGATATATGGAACAATTAAAACAAGTAACAACCATTGGTGCACGTAAGTTCTCTTTGGAAAAGTAGGGCCGTTAGGAAATGCATTTGTCGAAAATGAAAATGGAGCTATTATATATTTGCTTACTGTAGAAGTTACAGAAAATGGAGATACTATTGCTTATTGTAGTAGTAAAACTTTAACCCTTTAACTTTTTAGTTCTACACATTTAATTAACAGACTTTATAACTTTTTGTCCAGTTTTGTTTTTCTTTAGAACGGTTATAACAAATTCATCAATAAAAAACATCAACAAGGTGGAAAGAATTACACGAAATCAAATAACATTTGTCGAAAATGAAAATGAAAATGGAGCTATTATTTGCTTACTGCAGAAGTTATAAATTTAACCCGAAAATGGAGATATTATTGCTTAGAGTAAATTACACGAATGGGCCTTATGGTTTCGGATAATTTACGCGTTTGGTCCCTAATTTATTTTTTTAACTCGGTCCCTACTATTTGTTTTTGTTACGCGTTTGGTACCTACTGTTTGTTTTTGTTACGCATTTGGTCCCTGTCTTACCTAAAAATACCATTATTTAAATAGGGAAAAATAGTGGGTGCGTAAGGTAAAGTGAGAGGAGTGGGGCTAAGGGTATGTTTGTTTAAATAAATTAAAAAATCAATGAAAAAATAGTCTTTTTAGGTAAGATAGGGACCAAGTGCGTAACAAAAACAAACAATACGGACCTTCCGAGTTAAAAAAATAAATTAGGGACCAAACGCACAAATTACCCTAAACCATAGGGACCATTCACGTAATTTATTCTATTGCTTATTGTAGTAGTAAAAGTGTAACCCTTCAATTTTTTAGTTCTACCCATTTTTTTAGTTTTTCTTTGAGTTATTTCTATAAAAGACCCTATATTATGACTTTTTTTCTTTTAAACCTATTTTTTGTTTCTTTTCCGAAAAAAAACCAACTTTTATTTATTACTTGTTATTTTAGACCTAGCAGATCACCAATAGGTAAATTAAGTATTTTTTTTTCATAAAAGATCATATATTTTGTAATTGCTTTCATTTTAAGCCTAAAATATATTTTTTTTCAAAATAAACTCAACTTTAAAATTGATTATAATCTTCAAGACCAAATATATAAGGTACTTCTTGACTATACCGAAAAAAAATAAACATGTATACACTAGAAAATGTTATCTAATCTATTATCTTTTAAGCGAATATAACCTAAAAGAATTACTAATATTTTATTTTTGTCTAAAGATATAATTAAACTTTATCATGGATATATACTATATCATTAAACTTGATATATTGTTTATAGAAAATGTTAATATTACGGTTAATTAAAAGTTTGATGTTATTTTGATATTTATTGGTAACATGGTTAATATATGACTAAGAATTTTTTTTAGCATAATAACAAAATTTTTTATTTGTAGAAAAAAATATTATATGATTTTACAAACTATATACAAAATAATTTTTTTAGTTTGTATATTATACTTATTTGGTGAGTTTGGATATATTTCTCTCTCTCACTTTTCTATATTATTTTTTGGCCGATTTTTTTAATCAATTTTTTTAAAACAATTAACAAACTCACTCACTATCATACTCCTAAACCAAAGACAGAGAATATTTTGTAGCATTAGCCGATTATTAAACAATATGTTATAATTATATAAAATTTATACGTAAAAATATAATCCTAAACATTCGTATTAGTTTTGTTTAGATATATGAAATTCAAGTTTAAGACTTTCTTAAAAAATATTAACATCACATATGAATACATAAAACTATATATTGGGAATGAAAGCATTTGAGCATAAGTTGAAAATCCAAATAACAAGAATGATACCGCACACTTATATATCAAAATACGATGACCGACGTTATTAACAGTGGTTGGAATGTAGTGAATGAGCAAAACTCACAAACTATGCAACATTTTTGGTAGAAAAAAGAAAATTGAATAGTTGGTCTACTACCTTATTTTATTAATCTATCTTACGTATACATGGTGTTTGTATATCATTGTTATTGATTTTTAAGGATAATCATAATAATTACCAAAATAAAATTTAGTATTTCATTTTAATTTGAAAGAATATAATCACGTTTTTACGTATGAACGAAGTTAAGCTTCATTAAATCGGTGTAGTTAAGTACCTTATACAACTAGTGTTAAGGTTAATAATCAATTTTAAAGTTGGGTTTATTTTGAAATAATATATATATATATATATATATATATATATATATATATATATATATATATATATAGGTCTAAATTGGAAAAAGGTGCAAAATGTACCGTTTTTTATAAAATGAAAATACTTAATTTCCCTTTTGGTAACCTGCTAGGGTCAGGTCTAAAATAACAAGTAATATGTAAAAATTGAGTCTTTTCGGAAAAAGAAAAAAGTTTTAGGTTTAAAAATAAAAAAATTGTAAGGTCTTTTATGGAAATAACTCTTTTTCTTTTGAATGGTTATAACAAATTGATTGTAAAAAAGAGAATCTATAGAAAAATCCCAAACTTTAGGAAAAAATATCAATAAAATCCTAAAAGATTCTGTTATTTAATATTTTACCCAAATTAATAAAAAAATATTTTTTTTATATTTGACCAACAAATGACAGATTATATAATTTTCTTAAAATAATAAGATTTTTCTATTATTTTTTTAGGATTTTATTGAAATTTTTTCTAAAAGTTTAAAATTTTTCTATAGATTTCCGTCGTAATAAACATCGACAAGGTGGAAAGAATCATACGAAATCCAATAGTTGAAATTCACACTTGATATTTAAATAATGTGAAAATTAATATTATGAAATAATAACAATTTATTTAGTAAGGCCAAAGAAAAAAATGGACAGATAAGACTTATGATTAAATATTAGGATAATTATTTAAAAGGGTAATATATTTTTTGATTTTTATACATTTAGTTACTGAGATTTTTTTTATCCATATTTGATCATTTAACTTGTTTTTTTTTCCACATTCAATCATTATAACTGACTACTCCAAGTTAGTCCGTAAAAATGATTTAATAAGGTAATATATTTTTTTAGTTTCTACATATTTAGTCTTTAATTTTTTGTACACATTTAGTTATTATGACCGATTTCTTCAGATTTTGCTCACGACATTCTACATAGGACAATAATTAATGGGGTGTTCTCGTAGGTGACTCGTCATTCACTTATACGTAACTTAATTCACAAATCGGTCAAATAATGTTGGTGATCTCGATTTCTCCAAGTTATTGATGTATTCGTCTTCAGTTTCATGTATCTCCATAGCAGACAACAAAATTCTTTCTCTTAGAAATACAAATTAGAGTTGGGAGGAAGCAATCACAAAAATTCTCATTGTCTGCTATGGAGATAGATGAAACGTTTTGCCAAGGTTTTCTTTCATCTTGAAAGTGCAAATTCTTTTAGCGTCTTTCTTAATTCTTTTGTCTTGGAAGTGAAAATTCGAGTTAGGAGGAATCAATCACAAAAAGTCTCATTGTATGCTATGGAGATATATGAAACCAAAGTCAAAGACATCTTTTACTTGGATAAAACTATGACACGATCATTGTCTGACTGATTCGTAAACTAAGTTACTTAATATAAGTGAAGAGTGAGCCACATAAGAGAACATTTAATTAATGATTTTTCCACGTAGGATGTCGTGAGCAAAATATGAAGAAACCGGTCATAAGGACTAAATGTGTACAAAAAATTAAGGACTAAATGTTTACATACTAAAAAAATACATTACCCTATTAAGTTATTTTTCCGACTAAACCTAAAATAACAGATTACAAAGACTGAATCTGGATAAAAAAAACTCAGTGATCAAATGTATACAAATTAAAAAGTATATCCCTTAAATATACAAAACATTTTCACATAAACAGACAACTATCAACACTACTACTACAAAAAAGCATTATCGGTGACTAAAAGCGTCAGTAATTAAGCGCTAGTAGACTTACCGACTAAATTCCAACAGACAAAAATTCTTCAATATTCCGATAGCTACGACAAATTTAGTGACAAATTTTTCCGTTGATGAGTAGTAATTGATCCCCAACGAGACGAAAGAATATGTTTGCAGTAGATTATCGAAAAAATCTATGAATAACTCACTAACAGATTACCAACAAATTGGCGACGAATTTTGGCATTATAAATTAAGAATATAAATTAAATAAAATATA